ACAGACTCCCGCCAACTACTCCGAGCCGGTACGTGTTCGCCGCTCTCACTCACCTGGCGTGCATAGCGTCCACCGATGTTCAGGCGTTTAGGCGACTCAGGCGTTTTCGCGGGAGGCTTGGTAGAAGGCAGAAATATGTCATCTGTTGTCTGGCTGTCATGGTCTTGGACACGAGACTTGGAGGGAAGGTGTTCGACCTTTTGTGATGTGGTTGCCGAGATGCTCCAGGTTCGACCTTCGCTTGCGCCTGAATCCTCGGTCCAAGTACCCCTGTTGGTCATTACCTTAAATTCGGGGCTGGAGACATTGCCCTCGGCCTTAGTTCGTGGCGCTGATACGTCAGAGTCCTTGCGCACGTTACGGAGATAGCGGTTTGCCACGGACGTGCTACCACTTCCACCGCCGGCACTAGAAGTTGGAGCAGTGTATCCTGGCCTCGTCCGACTGCTTGATGCCCCATAACTATTGGATGATGCAAAGGCCGCCAGAGCACCGCTCCCATGCCGCGAAGCCCCATAGGAGCGGCTTAAAGAAGATGATGCGGCGTAATCCTTGCCAAACATGTCATAGGGTGATGTGCTGGAAAAATTATAGTTTCCTGAGGGGCAGCCACCGTAGCCCTTCGAGAGGCCAACTTCATACTAAAACAGACGAAAAGATGAGACAGCTAGGCACATCGTTTTTTGCGAGCAAGAAAAAGGTAAGAGGTTCCAGGCTGAAAAGATGGAGGGAAGGTGACGCAAAGCAATTTCTTCAAAGAGCTCGTTGATTGGGGAATGCTTATTTTAGAGGACGTAGTGGTCTTGCTAAGTGGTTCCTTGCGCTCCTTATGAAGGAGGGATATGAGCCCAGCTGTCGAAAATATTATTTCTTGTAGGACAACCTATCATTAGCATGAGTCTCACTGCACGAGGATCACATGCGGACGTCACAGCCTGCACCGCTTCCTATTGGCTGTTCCTATCGCGGGGAAGGCAAATGTGCAGGGGAGGTTGGGCAAGCGAAATTGCGTGGCCGTTCTGGGCCCTTCAACCTCCACGCGACGTCGGCTTTGGTCTGTATTTTGATTGGTGCCCTTTCACCGCCTCCTTATTGGTGTCTGCAGTTGTTCAGGACACGGGCCTTCACGTGAAAGACACACAATCGCGACCAGTAACGGACGCCTAAATGGACTTGTGATCGACTCTACGTAACGCTCCTCCGACCAACCGTTTGATGAATGGTCTTGTTAAAAATATCTCCTCGGACTACAGGGGAGTATGTGCGTGAAGGTCAACGAAACTTAAGTGTGACACGAGGTCAAGTGACAAATAAGGCCGAAAATGTCAGCAAGGCAATCAAATTCAGCTATTTTTTGAAATATGGAAGCAAGGAAAAGCGGTTTCTGGGAGGCAGAAAACCAGGCAA